CACCCCTCCTTGCACCCGCCCCAACACCCCCATACCACCCCCCAACACCCTCATACCTCCCCCGTAACCCCATATACCCCCCTATCCACAAAAGTTTCTCAGTGGATCTGGGCTGTACTCAGCAAGCCCAGAACAGCCACGGACTTGGATTTGAAAAAGAAACAAAGTGGATGGCCCTCTACACACTAGTCGCCAGACTGCCGACCGGTCAGCCCTAGTGGTAGGCTGCAAAACTGTGGGTGGGCGTTGTCGGCAGTCGGCGGGTATGCAACCCTGGCTACCGGACCAAAATGGCTGGCAGCGCCAGACAAGAGAAAAAAAATGCGGCGCTGGCAGCCTGGCAGTTAATTTTTCTTTGGCGTGGAGGGGAAATCCGCCTCGGCAAAAGGCGCCTTGGAGGTCCAGGTGGTTTAAAAGGGGCTGGACCACCCGGAAGGAAAAAGGCTGGTGGTGCCAGGCAAAAGGACAATATTTCCAGCCCATGCCGGTTCCGTTTTTTTGGGTGTGCACTGTGCAGTAGAAATCCGGGTCTGGAAAAGGAGGGCTTTGAGGACATGGCGGTTTAACCAACCTGCTGAATGACTCGGTCTCCCTCTCTGAAAATAAATTCTCCATGTTGCAGCTCCTTCTTTGACTCTGATTTGGCATTCAGAAGTTCTTGAAGACCCTGTTTCAATCACGGGAGGGTGCAAAATGCCAGTGGAACAGTTAGAACTTGAAATTTGGAGCAGACTAGGCATGAATGAAGAGATTCAGAAAGACTTACTATGAGCTTCCCCCCACTCCTCCCCCTCAAACCAGTGTTGCATACCCCGACGGTCGGGGGTTGTCAGCACCCCGCAAAAAACAAAAAAAAGTTCTTTTTTTTTTTTGGGGGTCCAGAAACCCCAATAACGCCACGAACATCCCCATACCCCCCCCCCCCCCCCCCCAGTCAAACCAGTCCCCCCTCCCCCACCCCCCCCCCCTACCGGTCGTGGATCGTCAGCAGCCAGCCAACCCCCAATAACCCCACGAACAACCCCATACCCGCCCCCAATTCCCCATACAAACCCCCAACACGCCCAAACGGCCCCCCAACACCCTCATACCCCCCGCCCCCCCGGCTCAGTACAGCCCCCCAACTCAGATTTGAAAACAAATCAGAGAATGGCTGTTTCTGACTGGTCGGCAGGTCGGCCCTACTGGTCGGCTGCAAAACGGTCGGCGGTCGGCAGGAATACAACCCTGCCTCAAACCTCACTTTTTGGCTTGCTCGGGTGACCCAGGCAGGTGGGGCCCTGAGCAGAGTGACCCAGGTGGCCTGCCCTGGCACTCTATGGTAGCCCAGATGAATAGCTAAAGGCCCATAAATAATATGAAGGCAGAAGGGTTTGTGATATATTCACTTGCCGAATCATGCTAATTTGCGCAAAGCCTCAAACACCTTTTCCGGGCGTCCACCTCACATCTGAATATCAATTCTGTGATTACAACAGGTGCCAGCTTGGGAATCGCATTACCACATTTAAGAAATCCACTGGCCTTCTAGAACTCCCAACCTAACATCTCCCCCCAAACACAACACAACCACATTATGGCCGTACCAAACCAGAAAGGTGGTTTTCATCAAGGTTACCAGCAGCGCCGCCGGGGTCGCCTTGTTTTACCGGGCGGCCCGGCCGTGCGAGGACCAGGGAAGGTCCCAGCAAAAAAAAACCGAAAAAAACGGGGAATGTTATGCAGAAAAATAAAATCAACAACTTTTGCCTCAGGGTCACATCGAAATTCTTTACCATCCAGCGACCTAGCTCAGTTGGTTAGGCACGCAAGTGGCATTTAGGAGGTCTTGGGTTCAAGCCCCATGACCGCCTGGCGCACTTAATGCCAACGGACTGTGATAGTCCTCTGGATACCCCTGATCGGTATTAGCGGGGTCTATGAATTCTCGATGAGGGGTAGGGGACGATGAGAAAGGGAGGCGCAGCCACTGGCAAGATGCTTGGTCTTTGCGTTAGCCGGACACTCACCACCGGCCCCACTCCATCTCTGACTACCGCTGTTTGGGCGTGGGGCAACATGAATCACCTCGTTTGCGAGGCCCTATGCTTGCAGGGGTCCCCTCTATATAGTCTTAGCATACTTGCAAGCGGACGCCGTCCGGGCGGTTCCGCACGTGCGGCAGACCGCCGGACCGGACCCGTGAGGCGCACGAATGTGCGCCGGACGACCAGTTATGCCCCAACCCCCCCCCAAAAAAAAAAAAAAAACACCCCTGTTTGGTCTGGTCCGGGGGGAGGGTGCCGCACGCGGCAAAGCGGACCGGACCGGACGCTCGTCCGGTCCGTCTGCTTGCAAGTACGAGTCTTAGGAGTAGTGGTAGGAAAGGTAGTGAATGACAAAAAGAATTTGACAGAAGAACATAGCGTAGTAAAAAAAAAAAAAAAAAAAAAAATCTTTACCAAATTTAAAATAAAAATAACAATCGTCTTTTTTATTTTCTTTTGGGCCAGCCGGACAAGTGGTCCCGGGCCACTCTGGTAGCCTAGGTTTTTATACATTCATTATCCTTGTGCATAATGTTCGGAGGAAGATGGTAGTTGTAGCTGGTTGGGAGTGGAGGAACGAACACGGTCGTTAAAGGAAGGAGCCATGCACTTCTGGCAGACAAGTATCCCGATTAGCAGTCTAATTGGGGGCGCATCACTGCCCACAAGAGTTAGAAATCAGTCCGATTCCGTTCGTCAGCTTGGCCAACAGTCTCAAGAGATACCTTCCTGAAGTCATGTCCATGTGGGCATGAAAATAGGCTTTCACATTCAACAAAATCCTCCACTGCGCGCTGCGAAACATAAACTCAGAAATTCACAATTGACTTAGATGGCCCCCACCTGCACTATCCAGTGCTCTCAAACCACTTCTCTCGGAGTGGGCCACAGACAAAAGCGGGATCGAATTTCGGCCACAGACAAAAGCGTGATCAATTTTCGGCTAATTTGACACTTGGTATCAAGAGTTTTGAGACTTGGGTAAGTTTCTTGAAAATATATACACAGTCCAGACGAGCATCGGGGCGTCTGCTATGCCAGACAATCCACGCTAGTGCGACCATACTGTCTGGATGGTTGCCTGGTTTGCCAGATTCCAACTCCATAGTGCTAATTTGGTCTGGAATCCTGGATATAAATGCGGCAGCTCAGTTACATACCTTATTCAGTCTGAAAGTTCCCAGTGGGCCCTTGCGCATGGGACTGAGGACCTGAACATCTTTGTAAGGGTCAAGTCCAATTGATGGTAGATGTGCACTTATAATTTCCTTCAAGGAGTCCTCGATTCTGAAATCTGGCACCTAGTGGCGTCCGTACACAAAGGGTTTATGGAGCAAACAAAACACGATGCAAATACACAGAAAGGATCCGAGTCAGAATATTCACTTGGTAGACCACAACCATTCTACTCTCCTCCTCCTCCTTCTCCTCCCCCTCCCCCTACCCCCCATACTTCAGGTTCTCTCTTCCACCTCCTGTGTCTTTCGCCTTCCTTCTCCATCCTCATCATGCGTGGCTCCTCCTCTTCCTCCTCCTCTTCCTCCTCGTCCTACTCCTGCTCCTCCTCCTCCTCCTCCTAACCCCCATACTGCAGGTTCTCTTCCACCTCTGGTGTCTTTTGCCTCCATTCTCCATCCTCGTCATGCGGGGCTCCTCCTCCTCTTCCTCCTCCTCCTGCTGTCTCGGTTGCCATGTCACATCCCAGAACCGTCCATTACCCAACCTAGTTCCCTGCACACACAAGTTATAGAGAACACGACAAGACACAACACGACACGGCACGGCACGGCACAGCACGACACGACACGACACGACACGACACGACACAACACAACACAACACGACACGACACGACACGACACGACACGACACGACACGACATGACACGACACGACACGACACGACCGACACGACACGACACGACGCGACGCGACGCGACGCAACACAACGCAACGCAACACAACACCACCACACCACACAATACATTAAAAATTTGAAATTGATTAAATGCATGCGCAGCAAACCTTCTCAGAAGATTGGTCAACAATCCAAGTCAGAAGATTGATCTTGTAGAGCGTATCCCTTTTTGTTGTCATTCTCCTCCTCCTCCTCCTCCTCCTCCTCCTCCTCCTCCTCCTTGTACTGCTAATTTTCCTCCAGCTCTTATATCTCTTTGTCATCCTGCTGAATTCTCATTATGCATAGCTCCTCCTCTTCCTCCTCCTCCCATTGTCTTGGTTGCCATGTTGCATGTTGCATTTCATAGCCTCTCCATTGGCCCTCGAAAGTATAACTTACCAAGTCGGTAAAACCAAATTTGATTTACTAGGTGATACAGCATGCTACAATGCGTCAAATTACTCGTGAATGAAAGCAGGTTACTGTTTCTGGCAAGATCTTGACGTCACCTAGCCACTCTCTTACTGCTCACATTGTGGGGAAGGCTCAGCTGGACAATCTCCACATTGTGGTTGAGCAAGCTGATGGTCACAACGACAGTTACGACACAGTAAAAATCGACTGTGGATCTACGTATAGATGTAGGTCAGTTGGGCCTGCCCTTTTGTATGACTGACACGCCAAAGCATATACCCACAACAAGCGTCGTTACGACACAGTAAAAATTGACTGTGGATCTACGTATAGATGTAGGTCAGTTGGGCCTACCCTTTTGTATGGCTGACACGCCAAAGCATATACCCACAAGAGGACAATAACTTCAATAAGTCGCTGACAACTTTGGATGCAACTGCAAAGAGGACTCACAACAAGGCCACTCACTGCTGGGACCCATGACTACACTGATCATGTGCACTGGACATGTGCTGTATGCAGGTACTGAGGTGATCCTCACACGGGGACTCAAATCCCGGAGCTTAAGAAACATGCAGGTTCAGGATTGGAGGGACAGACATCTAGGAGCATAATTGGTTAGGGCCTTGACAGGTGTTCCACCATTCCTGAGTGAGGTGGTCCCCACACGGGAACTTCAGTGCACCCAAACCATGTGGCGGACTGGTACAGCCATGAACTGTCGATACGCATACCCTGACAGGAATAAGTTCAAATCCAGCCATGGACTGTCAATGGAACCAGATGAATGAAGTAAGGGACTGTAAGGCTGAATTACCCAGGGCCAGTCAGTTTGATGATGATACATCAAGGCCGCCCCGCGCCCTTGAGAGAAAAAGAAAAGAAAAGAAAAGAAAACGATGAACTTTAACGAACGTCAATGCCGGCTGTAAAGTACAGCATTCAAAAACAAGCAGAACGAGCGACTCACCTCAACCCAGAGGCAATCGGTCTGAAATTTCAAGATGTGGCTACTCCTCACTTGGGCACTTTCTTTCACGACCGCTGCTGCTGTCTGTTTGTGCCGTTCCTCAGTATCAACACTTGACGGTGTTCTTCCCTCTTGCAGGAGCAACTCACCCTTCCATAGGCCTTCCCCTGACTGGGTCCCCTCGTAATCTCCAAATCTACCTTGCCGTTCCACAAGCGTTTGTGGATTTATGACATCCTCACTTGAAGACGATGTGCTAGTCCTGGTCTCAGCTCCCCATGACCCCACCTCCATGTCAGAGGAAAGCTGCACCTTTTCGAGATTTGGAAATACTCCCCTGTTGATTGCATGGGCATTTGTAACAATAGCTGAGGCCTGTGCCTGACGGAAGACCTCTGTCAGACGGAAGACTGGGACAACTCCTGACCTGCACACACGACCAATGGTGAATGCAGGCAGACTCATCAGGGCACTGGATGCACAGAGATTGAGAGATGTGGACGAACAGACACGAGTGCACACACACACACAGGATGACGGACAAATGGACAGACACAT